CCCTAAACCCTAAACCCTAAACCCTAAACCCTAAACCCTAAACCCTAAACCCTAAACCCTACCTTAGGTTTGAGGTTAGGGTTTTTCCTCGAGTGGTTGATTAACCTTGCGGGGCCGAACTCGATTCTTTCATCTGTAGCATCTATACTCATTTGTTTGTCTTTATATTTAAAATAAAACATAAAACTCCTAAACACAAACCCTAAACCCTAAACCCTAAACCCTAAACACGAAACGAAGCGCAAACCCTAAACCCCAGCTACACCAAACCCTAACATCCATTCAAACCAACAAAAACTAAATGAAAGCCCCTCTTAAACCCTAAACCCTAAACCCTAAACCCTGAAACTCTACACAGATGCACAAACCCTAAACCAGCATAAACCCTAAACCCTAAACCCTAAACCCTAAATAAACAACCAACCCTGATCCCTATAAACCCTTGTGCATTAACTCCCTAAACAATGCGACCTCTCCGTCCAAATGTGCACAAACCCTAAACCCTAAACCCTAAACCCTAAACCCTAAACCCTAAACCCTCGTTTACCCCTTTGAGCAGCGGGATCTGTCATAACGGATGTCTCTTTCTCTCGCTTCTCTTTCAGAACACAATTCTCCTTTATACTCTGCACAAATTAAAAAGGAGACAGTTAAATTCAATTAAATCAAAAGGAGACAAACGGTTAAGTCAAAAGGAGACAAATGAAATTAAAAGGAGACAGTTAAATTAAAAGGAGACAAACCACAAAAAAAAGAAAGAGAGAGCAGCAAGGAGGCAAAGAGAGAGACAGAGCAGCAGCAGCAGCAGCAGCAGCGAAGGAGACAGGAGGAGGGAGACAGTGCAGCAGCATCAAAAGAGACAGCAGCAGGAAACACTGCAGCAGCAGAAGCAGCACCAAAGGAGACAGAAGCAGCAGCAACATCAGCAACAACAGCAGCACCAACAACAGCACCAGCAACAACAGCAACAGCAGCAACAACAGCAGCAGCAACAGCATCAGCAACAACAACAACAGCAACAACAGCAGCAGCAGCAGCACAGCAGCACCAACAACAGCAACAACAACAGCAGCAGCAGCACCAACAACAACAACAACAGCAGCAGCAGCAGCAGCAGCAGCAGCTAACCAATAACGAAGTCATCCTTCCTGATTAAATCTGCTGCTAAGACAGCTCTACCCTTCCCAGCGATCTTCTTAATCTGAATATTCGCGTGTACATTGTGCTGCAGACAGTGCAGGTAAACAATACGCCTTTGAGAAGGAGACAGCAGAGACAGCGGACGCCTGAGACACAAACCACAAACCCTAAACCCTAAACCCTAAACCCTAGAAGTGGAATAAGAAAGGGCTTTGCCGTCTCTGTCTAATGAGATATATATCATAAAAATGCTGCTGTCTCTGTCTCTGTCTTTAATTGATAGAACAACACACATATACATACATACATACATATATATATATATATATTTATTTATTTATATTTATTTATTTATATTTATTTGTTTGTTAGTTTACTTGATAAGACCCGTCTCTCTATCGATGAATGCATCAATGAGAGATTTATCGTCTCCTTCTAGATAGGAAGGGATACGTGTCTTTTTGTGTTCATTAACAGTCTCCTTGAGCTGTTCTTTTCTTTGTTTTAACCTCAAGCTTCTTTTATAGAATTCAGCAGCAATAAACTCGTAGAACCGTGCAGCTTCTTGTTGTCTTTTAAGATCTCTATTAGCTGCATTATTACTTGCTCTTCCTCTCTTCAGATTGCGTTCTTCTGCTGCTGCTGCTGCTGCTGCTGCTGCTGCGCTGCTGCTGCTGCTGCTGCATACGCGTCTTCTCTTTATCATAGACCCGCATAAAGATATTAATGCTTCTTCTACACAGCCCCCAGCATCATAACGGCTTAAGTTCCAGTATAAGTTTGTCGCATTCTGTGCTAAATTTATTGCTGAGAAATCTAAAGGTCTGTACACCCAAAGAAGCAAATCTACTTATTATTTTTATTATTATTTTTATTCTTATTATTTATTATTCTTATTGTTTTTATTATTGTTAGTGTTTTTATTGTTGTTGTTGTTATTATTGTTATTACAGCAGCATCAACAGCAGCAGCAACAAACAGCAAGCAGCAGCACCACAACCAACAGCAGCAGCAGCAGCAGCAGCAGCAACAGCAGCACCACAACCAACAGCAGCAACAGCAGCAGCACCGCAACCAACAGCAGCATCACCACAACCAACAGCAGCAGCAGCAACAGCAACAGGAGGAGGAGAAGAAGGTCGAACCTGTTGAGTTGTTCTGCATAGAGTTTGAGTTTAGCGAGTGCATGCTGGAGCTCTCGCTTCGATGCAATCCTAATCCTATCTATCTCCATGAAGGCGTGAAACTCTGTAGGAAACTCTATCTCTACTCTACAGCCTGGAGGCAGCTGCTGCGAGCAGAAGAGCGAAGAAGCATCAGCAGCATACATCGAATCTGCGGATAACTGCGACAAGCACACATACTCCTCCTCCTCTTCATCGCCTCCTGCTGCTGCTCCTGCTGCTGCTGTTCCTGCTGCTGCTCCTCCTCCTGTTGCTGCTGCTCCTCCTGCTGCGTCTTCACCGCATTCTTCTTCGCCCGCTCCCTCCGTATCTCCTCCTCCTGCTGCTGTTGCTGCTGTTGCTGCTGCATCGCCGGTTGCTTCGGTTTTACTTTCTATGTCTTCGTCTTGATGCTCTCCTGCTGCTGTTGCTGCTGCTGCTGCTGCAGCAGCAGCATTTGCTGTCTCCTTGTCTCCTTCTGCTCTTGATTCAAATGCTGCACCCTCACCCTCTCCTGTGGCGGTGGTTGTTTCATCTGCTGCTGCTGCTTCTGCTGCTGCTGCTTCTTCTGCTTCTGCTGCTGTTGCTGCTGCTGCTCCTTTCTCCTCTCCTTTTGCTGCAGCAGCCGATCCCTCTACACTGTCTCCTTTTCGACAGCCACGTCCACGTCGCTGCCTCTGCTGCTGCTGCTGTTGCTGGGGGCTGTGTGCCTCATCAGCAGCAGCAGCAGCAGCTGCTGCTGCTGCTCTCTTCGCTCCCCCACGCGTCCGTCCACCAATATCTTCTTGCTGCTGCTCTTGCTGCTGTTCTTGCTGCTGTTCTTGTTGCTGTTGCTCAGAAGAAGTATCAGTTTCTTCTTTAACAGTTTTATTTCTGTGGGTACCATCTGTTGCTGTTGCTGCTGCAGCTGCTGCAGCAGCTGCAGCAGCAGCAGCAGCACTTTTGATTTGCTGCTGTCTATATGCAGCCCATGAATCATCTGCTGCTTTCTTATGACTACCGAAAGGCCTAACCTCCGCAATTCGCTCATCTCCTTCTGCTCCTAATACAAAGAAGCGACAGCGCCGCTGCAGAGAGGAGACAATTCTGTGGTTCGCAAGAGACACACTGCAGCAGCAGCAGCAGCAGCAGCAACAGCAGCAGCAGCAACAGCAGCAGAAACGGATGAAGAAGGCATTAAATGCAACAAATATCAAGTGGTAGAAGGCGGTTAAAGAGGAAATAAGAAAACAGATAAAAAGGAGACAGAAAGGAGACAGAAAGGAGACAGTAAATAAACAGAGACAAACAGCGAGCAGACAAACAAAAGAGACACGAAAAGACAGACAAAAACAGACAGAGACAACAGACGCAGAGAAAGAAGAGAGAGACAGAGGAGACAGAGAAAGGAGACAGAGAAAGGAGGCAGAGAAAGGAGACAGAAGAGAGTCAAAGAAGGAGACAGCAGGAAGATAAAGAAGAGGCCAGATGAAGATAAAGAGATAAGGAGACAGAAGAGAGACAAGAAAGGAGACAGAAGAGAGACAAGAAAGGAGACAGAAGAGAGACAAGAAAGGAGACAGTAAGTCTCTCACTTGCATCTATGAGCCATAATAGAGGGCTGCAGCCCGAGTAAGACGCGGATTTCGCTAGCAAGTGCAGCAGGAAGCTGAAGCACAGCGTCAAAGCCGCTTAAGTCGCAGTTGTCTTCAGCATATATCCATCCTCTCCAGCCTCCTCTGTCTCTCTCAATTATATATTTCTTCTTCTCTTGCTCAAGACGCTGAAGAGCTTCTGCTTCCGCAGCCAGAGGCTGCAGCTCCGCTGCTGCTGCTGCTGCTGCTGCTGATGGGTCGCATGTGCCAGCAGCAGATGAGCCAGGCGAAGAACTGTCTCCTGTGGGGTCTTGTGAATCTGCTGCTGCACTTGCTGCTGAATCTGCTGCTGCTGCAGCAGCAGCAGCAGATTCTTGCTGCTGCAGGTGCTTTGGAGGTATATCAAATATAAAGTGATGGCTAGCACAAGGCTTCGGCTGTCTCTTTACTGCAACAGACAGTTTATATGTTGCTGCTCCTTCATCCCCGCATGTCCTGCTTCTATAAAAGACATAATCTTCTCCTAGTATCTTTCCTCGCTTTGTTATATACAGCTGCTGCATACCTACACCTGAAGATACACTCCGATGAGCTCCGCCTCTGCCTCTTCTATTGTCTCCAGAGAGAAGAGACGGAGAACCTCGAGGAGATGCTGCTGCTGCTGCTGCTGCTGCTGGACTGTCTCCTTGAGGTTGGCTGCTGGGGCTGTTGCTGCCGCTGCTGCGGCTGTTGCTGTTGTTGTTATTACTGCTGCTGCTATCTCCGTGTTGCTGCTGCGCATCCCCAGCAGCAGACTGTGGACTGCAGCTAAACTGCTGCTGCTGCTGCTGCTGCTCTGTCTCTGGTAGTGATAGGGCTAATGCTGCTTTTGTTTTCTTTCCTACTGTATAGGGCCGTACAGAGACAAGCTTAGGCTTTGAATAAACTATTACTCCTTGTCTTCTTAACACCCCGTGAAATAAAGAAGATAAAGATGTCGAAGAAAGCAGCAAAAACGGCTTCATACTAAATCTCTCTCGCGTCCCAGAAGGGACAGGACAAAGACAAGAAGGTAGTAAATGCTGCATATCAAACAAATAAAATAAAATAAACTAATTAATTAATTAATTAATTAATTAATTATATTAATTAATTAATTAATTAGTTAATTATATGAACAAGGGACAGGACAAAAACAAGAAGGTAGTAAGTGCTGCATATCAAACAAACAAATAAAATATATATATTAATATATAAATATATTAATTAATAAATTAATCAGATAATTAATTATTTATATATTTAAATACTGCATTGCTAGACAAACGCATTAATAATATAAAACCAACAGCGAGACAGGCGTTAAAAACATCAAAATATTAAAGAAAAATAAGAAGCATAAAAATAATAATTAATAATAATAAATAATAATTAATAAACATAAAATAATAAATAATTAATAAACATAAAAATAATAATTAATAATAAATAAATAAACAAAAATAATTAAAAAGTTAATAACAAACAAGCAAACTAAATAAATAAATAAATAAATAAATAAATAATAAATAAATAAATAAATAATAAATAATAAATAATAAATAAATAATAAATAAATAAATAGTGAAGACATACGTGAATTTCAACCAAGACATCTAAGCCTTTGTCTGTCCACACAATATAAACCCCTTCTTCTTGCAGGCCAGGCAGAGGCAGCAGAGCCTTTGAGTCTCCTCTCTCTAGCCAGATTATTTTATGCTGCTCTTTCATTGTATTTCTTATTAACTCTCCTAGACGAAGAGACAAGCTGCTGCGTTGATAGGCAAACGACGGTAGGTGTGCAGCAGACCCGCTGCTGCTGCTGCTGCTGCTGCTGCTAGTTGTGCTGCTAGAGCCACCCGCTACGCCGTCTTCTGCTGCTCCTCCTGCTGCTGCTCTTGCTGCTGCTGAACGAGGAGACACCCCACGCCCGTCTATCCACTGTCTCCTTTCCTTTCGTCTCCTCAGAGAGCTTAGTCTATTCACCTTCACGCTGCTCTTTGCTGCAGCACGGCAGCCACGGAATCGCTGCTGCTGCTGCTGCTGCTGCTGTTGTGCTGCTGCTGCTGTTGAGGACCCTGCGCCGGTGCCCGAGCTGCTGTTGCCTACCCCACACGAACTGTCTCCTGTCTCCTCGTCTTCTGCTGCGCTCCCTGCTTCTTCATCTTGCTCCATAGCCTCCCCTGCTGCTGCTGCTGCTGCTGCTGCTGCTCCGCGTCGCTGATGCTGGCGTGTGCTGCTAGGAAAGGAGGTTCCGCCGACAGCGCCTGCAGCAGCAGCAGCTCCTGCTGCTGGTGTAGTTGCTGCAGCAGCAGCAGCAGGACGCGCTGCAGCAGCAGCACTGTTCGTACGCCGCGCAGCTTCAGCACCAACCATTCTCGCTGCTAAAGAAGAGGTTTGAGGCGAAGCCTTCTTTGCTGCTGCTCTCCTTCCTGCTGCTGAAGCAGGAGCAGGAGCAGCAGCAGCAGAGGGAACAGGAGGTGCAGCGGGCATAAAGGGCTGGGGCTGCTGCTGCGGTGGGCTGTTGGTGGCAGCAAGTTGCTGCTGCAGCTGCTGCTGCTGCTGCAGCAGGAAGAGCTGTCCCTCTCGGAGGCCGAAGAGTCCCTCTGATGCAGCAGCAGCAGCAGCAAAAGACCCCCCTGCAGCAACAGGAGAAGTAGCAGCAGGTGTTACACTGTATCCGTGAGATATAAAAGCTGAGAGCTGCGAGCCTTGCTGCAGGTCGGAAGCAGCAGAAGGGCTGTTTGCTGCAGCAGGGTCAAACAGAGATTCAGGAAGCAGCCCCCCATCATCTCTGTCTCCGTTGTCTCCTCCTGCTGCAGCAAGGCAGCAAGATGCACCTCCCAACCCGCCTGCTGCTGCTGCTGCTGCTGCACCCGGTGAACTCCCTCCGTCTGCTGCAGCAGGCCCTAGCTGTGCAGCAACACCCAAGGTTTCATTAGACGGTTTGCTGCTGCTGCTGCTGCTGCTGCTGCCGCTGCTGCTGCTGCCAGACTCCAGCCCGAGGCCCCCATCTCCTATGCAAGGAAGCCCGCTGCTCTTGTAAGGGGGTACTCCTGTTGCGGCAGCAGCAGCAACTGCTGCTGCTGCTCCTACGGCACCGGCTGCTGTGGGCCCCCCCGGGGCTACCGCCGGCAGCACACCGCTGCTGCTGCTGCTGCTCAGATCTGCAGCAGCAACAGTAGGGCATGGAAGGCCTACAGGCCCACCTAAGGGTACGTGCTGCTGCTGCTGCTGCTGCTGCATCACCGCTCCTCCTCTGATTCTTCCGGGGGCTGCTCAAGCAGCTGCTGGTGCTACTGAGGAGGTAGCCCCTCCTCTGCTTCTAGAGGCAGCAGCAAGTTCTGCTTGCTCCCGCTGCTGCTGCTGCTGTTGCTGCTGCAGCAAACGGTCGGGTCGCCCCTAAAGGGCCCCTCCTGCTGCTGCAGCAGCAGCAGCAGCAGCAGCAGAGCCCCCTGAGGGGAAAGGGTGTAAGACGAAATCGTATAGCCAGACAGGAGTCGTCGGACGCTAGTGCTGCTGCTGCTGCTGTTGTTGTTGTTGCTGCTGTTGTTGCTGCTGCTACGCTGCTGCGGCAAGACCCAGACGCAGCAGCAGCAGCAGCAGCAGCAGGAGCAGCGCGCAGAAGCTCTGCAGACAGGCAAAGACAGAGACTTAAAAACAAAACAAAACGAGCAAAGATAAAGGCTAAGAAAAACAGAGACAAAAAACCGCCGCACCCAGCTGCAGCAAGAGGCAAACACGAGGGGCCCTGCTGCTGCTGTTGCTGCTGCTGCTGCTGCTGCTGCTGTTTCAGAGAGAGCCCCGCTGCAGCAACAGCTTCTAGCTAAATAAAGCAATAATAAAAGACAGAAATTATTAAACTCTTCTCCAGGACAGCAGCAGCACCTCCTCTCTTGCTGCTGCTGCTGCTTCGGTGGGCGCCCCCCAGCAGCGGTGGGGTCGCTTAGACACACTCTACCGTCGTCCAAGCCCTAAACCCTAAACCCTAAACCCTAAACCCTAAACCCTAAAAGCCTAAACCCTAAACCCTAAACCCTTGAGCTTGTTCTTAAGTAATTTGCACTTTGTTTTATTTCTACAGACCCTCATAAACACTCGAAGCAACGCAGCACCAACGAAACCATATTATATATATATATTATATATTATATATTATATATTATATATTATATATTATATATGTATATAATATATATAATATATATATGTTTATTTATTTAGAAGTGAATGAGGCGTGTCTGTGGGGTAGAGAGTGCTGGCAGTCAGACTAAATAAACAAAAATAACAAACAAACAACGCATTATACATATTATATATTATATATATGAAAGCCAGTAAAGGATCTTCAATATATATGTATATATATATATATTCCTTTGCTGGGTATTCTAAACGATAAATATATAATTATATAT